GGCTCAGTTACAAAATAGCAAAGGAGCAAATACCAAAAAAGTGCCAATTAGCTGGAATGTATATTTCCTGCGGCTTTTGCTGTTGTGCTAGTGTGTAAGAACGCTATGGCTGATATACAGAAGAGCAAAGTAGCAAAATTCACTTTACAAATACGCAAATTTGCCGTTTTGTATAACAGAAACTGCTCGAATGAATATCGTTTGCTTGTTTAAATTTCAGAAAATTGCTAGAATATATAAAAGTTGCCGCTATGTGAAGTGCTACTATGTAACAAAATTGAGCAATTTTGCTCAAAGAAGGGGCAAACCGATAAATTGCTCCTTCTACTATTGAGCAAATTGCTACTTTTCAGAGGAGCAATTTGCCGCTTTACGAATGGGCAATCCCGTAATGGAGCAAATTTTTGCTGTTCTACAATCGGAAGAAGAAATTGAAACTTCGCACGCGAGATTCTAACCTTGGTGGCTTGTTGGTGATTGTGTTGAGCATTGCATTATAGTTTCGAAGTCTCTGAGTGGTGACTTTTCTGCAAAGTTCTTTGGTTTGTCGATATAGATAAGAGATTCTCGAGTAACTCAGAAAGCTCAAAGAGGGAACTCGAAAGTAGTGTCGAAGTAGTAATGGGGGAAATACTGGTGGTATTGGGATTGTGGATTAAGACTTTTGCTATGCTCTGTATTATGTTTGCAAGTAGAGGATTTGTGTTTACATGGTAGTTTGTATTGGGCGGAATCACTCGTACTGAGTGATCCGAGATCACTTATTTGGATCAACATGGATCACTCATCTGCAGTGCAGTGCTGTATTGCAGGCACCCCAGTGGTGCCCATGCGAGATGTCGTGGCTTTCATACACGCATCCTGATCCCTACGTGGCCTATTGCATGCGAACCAATATGCTCTTCCGTAGTCTGAGCAAATACTGGTCATTGCAGAAAGACGCCCCTCGCGAAAATCGAAATTATCGAGGAAAGAGGCAGGCTGGCTTAGCAGTGCTGAGTTAGCACTCCGCATTACCCGGGCCGGGTAACCCGGCGCTGAACAAGTTCTTCCGAGGTTCCAGATGTGAGGAGATAGTGCGAAAGTACTCGCCTCACAACAATGCTATTTTATTGGTGGAGGAATATGAGAGCCACGCGGCAAAAGAATTGCAGCAGAAGCTGTCGAAAGAGGACGAGCGTGAGGAATCGAAGTAGTTTCTCCCATCACTGGAGACTAGCGACCATGTACGCACTCGCAGTAAGGTAGGCACCTCAGTGGTGCTCAGCTGTTGTAGCTGCTACAAGTAGCTGTCTCGGTGATTGGTAGAGATAAT